TACGTACTGCTATGCAGCAAGGAAAGTCTGTAAAAGTTTATTAGGAACACGCCCCACAGTTTTTCAGGAAAACCCCAGCAACGTTTACCTTCATTTCCAAATAATCAAATGCACAAAGCATGACTGCAAAACAGTGAGGAAATCACCGGCATTAAAAAAACATGAACTGCTTTCATAGACAAACTGACATCAAATGTATGGCTGCACAACTCTATCAAGGGCCATTCATTCTGATGTCTTAAAGTAGTATTCAACGCACAACTTCAGATCAAAAGCATTTCTTTACATTTTTGCCCAAACCCTTAAGCACCTTTCATACGTGTTTATCAGGAGAGGATCCGTGTACAGATCCTCTCCTGATCACAGCAGTACGGATCTGATGTCACCACTGTGACATCGGAGTCTGTACAGCTTTTTCCTCCATCGCAGAAACTGCCAGGCCCCATGCGAGTCTATGGGGAATCTGATGTAAACAGACACGTGTCCGGTCACATCAAATTACCCCCGGTCCGGTCCGGTCCATCGAAATAGGACACTGCTCTGCCAGACCTGGCGGTAAACGGATGCTCGTCCGTTTACACACGGAGGTCATACACTTGCAGACCCGATCGGACCGGCCATGTGAAAGGGGCCTTACAGTCGTCATGTTTCCAAACAGTTGGCTCCAACTCTCTGAGCTCTTGCTTTCCTGAACTTCCTGCCCAGTACAAGATTACAAGGGACAAAGCAGTCTCCAGTAGCCGTTCCTTTACTAGCTTGGAGAAGGAAGGAAGAAGGGAGCAGGCGAATGGTCTGCCTTGCTGTACCTGTGTGTTTACTAGCACATACAAGGGTGGCTCCAGAGGATTCTGCAAGGGAAAGGAGCCACCTGAAACAGAATATCAGGGCCAGTGCTCAGGGAACCAGCTGACTGTGCAGGAAACAAACTTTTAACGTCAATGAGCAGCATCCATTGTAAGTAATTTAAATCAGCATGTGAAATAATAAGAACCCTTTGAGTCGAATATCACATTAAACTGACCATCCACTGGCAGAATTTCGTATGACAGTTAATAAGGAAATATCTTGTCAGAACAGACAATGGCCTATGTTATGGCTATCAATTGTATTTCCACTTTCACAGCCAAATTGGGGTAACAACCTCTTTTCTAACATGTTCCCAATCACATTGTATATGACTCAAATTGAAAACTAGATTTCAACACTGTCTGTCCTAACAAAGGGTTAAATGGAAGCTCAGTTTGTCCCTCTAATTTAACTTTGAAACTGCTCAGAATAGCCCGAAATCTGCACAAAGGTCTTCACCAAAGAAATCACTAAAAGGTGAGAAACATTGTTTAAAAATGTTGTGTGAATATGAACACAAACATAGTGGGCTTTTCTCATTTACCTGCAAAAGTGGAAATAGACTTTACGTATAGAAGAAATCTAAAGTAATGAGCCATAAACTGGAGGTAATAACATGGCTCAGAATTGGTATGGGTTGGTGAACTCTGACTTTGCTGCTATTTTTACAGAACTCTCTCTGTAAGGCTCCATTCACACCATCTGTGTTGGAGCTGCGCTGGCTGTTGCTTCCAGCACAGCTCCTATGCAAGGCAATAGGTCACAGAGGGTGCCTATTCACACCACCGTGTTGGGGTAGAAATGTGGTGGTGTGCGTTGAAAAAAAACAAAAACTAAGGCATGCCTTACTTTTTTTTTCAACGCAGCAGGATGCATTACACAACCTTGCACTCCGCTGTGCCTGTAGAAGTGAATGAAATGTCACTTGTGACATTTCAATAACATTGTGTGATGCGCTGGGATCAGCACTTCAGTACACCAGCAGCTGTGTGGCTAGTGCAGCGTCTGGTGTGAAAGGCCCTCAAGCAAACAATGAATGCTGCTGCCTGCCCTGCCATACTCTGCTGGGTTGAAGAGAAACGTTCTGGAAGGTCCTCATCATCTGGAACACATCTAGGTGTCAGATCCCTGTCCCCCGTGTCCTCCAAGGATGTAGCGTCTAGCAGAGGAAACCACAGAGCACATTGGAGGACCCCCGCATCTGATCAGTCTGGAAAGGTTGAGGGCAGAAGATCTAGGATCAATCTCCTCTAAATCAACATAACAGAGTTTGGCGGTTCTGTGTTGAGTTAGTGTCACACTGTCCCTTCATATTCCTGTGGAACAGAGGTTCTTAGATGTTTTAATCCGAGGACTCAAATAAGAAATCAGTTACTTGTACTGGAACCCAAGAGAATCATTACCAAAATGTCAACAAATCCATACAAAGACAGATAATGTGGCGGTATAACACTTCGCAGACTTCAACTAGCACTGGGGACCTCCCAACCTTGTCTGTATCATACCCCCCTCAAAGTAATAAAGCCACAGGACCAGCATGACCATCAGGAGACTAGCATTTTCAGGAGGTTAATAACACGGGCAGTGCATATGTTTTACTCAAACATTTACTTTAAGAAGACAGTGATTTTTTTTAAATTAATATATCCTATAGAAGCATTTCACAACCTTTCACCCAAGAGGAACCCTTGAAATGTTGAGGTCTCAGGGAACCTGAGGCATCTCAGGGTACATTAGCAAGATCAGTACATTGTAGGTATAATACTTGCTCTTTAGGACAAAAATCCTTTGTAGTCCTTTGCTTCCGGGCGGTGCTGCAGCGACTTCCCTTCTCGTAGAACGAGTCACTCACTCAGCACCTCCTCCATTCTTGTATTCTTTTCAATGAATACAATACAAATCAGACAAGGTGAAGAGGCAGGACTGATGACATCATAATCCACTGACATCCAATCACTGAACATCTTGTATTCACTAAAAAGAATACATTTTCTGAATGTAGGAGGTACCAAGCAAGGGACCATCTCTATGCTCAATGTACCAGACAGGAAGTCGCTGCAGCATTGCCAGAAGACCAAAGGGGACACAGTATGTTCCATAGACTACAAATGAAAATATGAGTATCCCCTGCAGCCCTTCGATATGAACCAATCCAGTACACTGTGCTGGCCCAATCTAATATTTGAATACAGATGTTTCTTGAAGTTCTCCTTTAAACTCAGCCACTCTGTAAAGGTTGGTATGTTCCAATAAAATGTAGCTATGGAAAAAAAATACAAAAGTCCAAGGTATGAGTCTAGTCCAAAGAAGTTCACTCCCAGCCCCGCATTGGAGATTACAAAAATGAATAACTTGCCCATTCATAAGATCATATCATCCGGAATACCCAATTATTGAACACATGCATAGCTTTAAGGACCCAATGTCTTCCAATCAGCAGACAGTGGAGAAAACAATGTTGTGCGCAATTCGGTGACCTGGAAGCACCTTATAAAGTCCATGGTTTAGAAGTATATCTGTAAAAAAATAAATCAAGGCAACTGGACTTGCAGTATTTTTTGTTTCTTGAAGACGTTTCACTGGTCATCCAACCAGCTTTCTCAATTCAGAATAACTTGTACGAGGAATTTTTGTACAGGTCATTCTGAATTGAGAAAGCTGGTTGGATGACCAGTGAAACGTCTTCAAGAAAAATACAGCAAATCCAGTTGCCTTGACTTATTTTTTACAGATATACCATGACCTGGATAAATGAGAACCTTTACGGACACATGGTTTAGAAGGCCTCTAGCTTTAACGTGCACCTGTGTCCAAACTATAGACATTTACTTTTATATTCGGAGGGAACCCTTAAAACTAGAGTGTCAATATTATGCCAACAGAAACCAAAGCTGCTATGGTCTCTGTGTGGCCTTTTCCTTGCTCATCTAACTTTGAGATTAGCAGGAAGTAAGGGAATAAGAACGGGGAGGCCACAGGGTCACCAGGACAGCATAGCAGACAGAGGAGGCCCGAGTGATTCTGGAAAAAGACTGAGCGCAGGTGTAGGTATTAGAGCAGGCCTGCACAAATCCCAGTCACCAAAGCAACAACAAAAAAGCTCTCTGGCGATAAAGGTATTTAAGCATTTTATATACCGTTTCAATGACTGCAGCTCCACCAGCCACCATTAGGCGGCCCATAGTAGAAACATGGAAGGGAATTTATTAAAACTGGAGCAGACAAAATCTGGAGCAGCTGCCCATGGTAACCAATCAGCCTCTCTCTTTCATTTTCAAATCCCAACAGAACAAACTGAAGAGAGAAGCTGATTGGTTGCCATGGGCAACTGCTCCAGTTTTGATAAAATCCCCCCCATTGTTTTCACAATCAGTCACAAGTGTTCCGTCCTTGTGGTGTTTTTTTGTTTGCAGATTCTTTGTAAAGAAACTATAGGTCAGCACTGTGATACTGAGAGAGAATATGGGTCAGCACA